ATCTTCGATAGCCACATCCATCTGCCCACATACCAAATTTCGCAGGATGCATATGTCATTCCCTACATTCTCCCTTCCGAAATCTGACTCGACATTTTGTCGGTAAAGAAGCGAACATCACCTGGCCCAGACAAGGTCAGACCAAAAAACCTGAAGAATCTGCCGTCGGTACTCATCAATACACTGTTTTGGCTCTTCACATGCTACCTTTCTGAATGCAAAGTTCCATCCCAATGGAAAACCAGCAGGACTGTACTACTGTACAAGAAGGGAGACATCCATGACATTGACAACTATCGCCCAATCTGCCTATTGTCTGTCACCTACAAGCTGTTCACTCGAGTCATCCTGAATAGGATTGGCAAAACACTAGATGAAGGACAACCATGCAAGCAAGTCAGGTTCCTCAAAGGATTCAGCAGAATCGACTATACCCATACAATAACCAAGGTGATTGAGGTTTCTTTGGGAGTTCAAGATGCCACTCTGTCTAACATTGATTGATTTAAAGAAGGCCTTTAATTCTGTTGAAACTGAAGTGGTAATCAAAGCCCTAGCCAAACAGGGCATTCAAACTCAATACATCAGGATCCTCCATGAGCTGTGTTATAGATTCACTACCAGGATCTCACCATTCTACAAAGAAGTGATCATCATGTCAAGAGAGGAGTTTGGCAGAGTGATACCATTTCACTGAAACTCTTCAGTGCCACCCTTGAGAACATCATGCAATGACTAGAATGGGAAGGAATGGGAGTGAAGGTAGACTGTTGGCAACTACACCACCTCTGCTTTGCTGATGACATCATTCTAATCACACCAAATCAGCCAAGCAGCAAAAATGCTGGTCGACTTTGACTGTGAGTATGGAAAGGTTGGACTACAGCTGAATCTCACGAAGACAATGTTTAAGAGAAACAGTCTCGTTCCTGACATTCCTTCGCTCTCAATGGGACGAATATATGGCAACATGACCAATGACCTGGCACCTTAGTTGCACAGGAGGAAGAGAGCAGTGTTGAACGCTTTCAAGATCGTCAAAGAAATAGTTAAGAGGACAAAGAATCTTCGGCTCTGGGCACATCACTTTGATTCCACTGTTCTTCCTGCATTAACGTCTGCCTCACAGAACTGGGCCCTATGAAAACAAGATGAGAGCACTATTCAGGTCTCCCAAAGAGGAATCGAAACAGCTATGCTTGGAGTATCACGCTTCATTCAAATGAGTGAAAGAATCTGGAGTCCTGACCTCTGTTGATGGTCAAGAATCAGGGATACTGTCTCTTTTGCCAAGACTTCAAAAATCAGATGGGCTGGACCTGTAATCCTATTTGGAGACGACCGTTGAACTAGAGCCATTACTGACTGGATTCCACGGGATGTCAAAAGATCAGGTGGCTGCCCACTTATGACCTATGGTCAACTTCTTCGTCAAGACCCTGAATGATCGGTTTGAGGCTCTTCATTTTCCTAGAATGATCAGATGCAATTGGGCTACTCTGGCACGTGTCAGACATGGATGGAGTTGTTACTGTCGCCCACTCAATCATATTGATGAGTAAAGGGATGTCAAGTGTCAAGTGATCAAGGGATGGTGAATATAAACTGTCTCTCTAAGTACATTAGCATTTCTGCTACATGACTCAATTCTTGGCTAAGCATTTTTTGATGGTGTGGTAATTGTTCTTCTCATGGTAATGGCATATATGACCACTATGTGATCATCTTCAATCTCCTACAAAGGTACTACATGACCTTCTTGAGTCTATATGACACATAGTGATGGCCTGGGTAGGGGGAACTTATCAGCATAGTCATACAGCTTCTCTTCATGCATCATATCCTTCTGCAGTCCCTGACTCATTGGTCACTTTATATGTTATTTGCTTCCATTGCTGAAACTGGCCCATATGGACACTCCTACCCTGGAGTTCTTAGTTATTCTTAACACTGGGATGATGAGTATGACCATCCTCTTCTTTATTTTTATTACCACTATTTGGAGTGTCCTCTGCTCTCTGAAGACTTACAGCTCAGAGAGCTTGTGTAAATCCCTGTTGACGTGTCTTCCACTTCACAGTGATTTTCTTATTCTTTGTGTCACGTATATTTTTGTACCTGAGACCTGCAACCATTTACCCTATAGATAAGGTAATGGCTTGTCTGATTCAATCACCTCATGTATGTTAAATGCCCTGATTTACATTTTAAGAAGCATATGGTAAAAAAAAAATCCACTAGGAAAATGTGGCTTAAATAAGGGACTATGGGTAATATTTCACAAGGGACACCGGTTAATAATTGACAGTCATGCTGGGTGCATATACTGCCTGAGCCCATTGTGCAGCTTGAGCCCATGTGGCTGAGCACATGTGGTGCCCGAGCACATGTGTTGCTTGCATCTTCCCTCTTGAGATGTGTATTTTCATGCTTTTGTGTCTAATGCTGGGATGTGTGTAGGAGCACTCTCCACCCTTGCAGAAGCCCACGTTCTCTCGAGTGTGTTACTCTCTCTCTCTCTCTCCCTTTCAAAAACCCTCCAAATAAAATCTATTTACTTCAAAAAATTGACAGTTCTGCTGAAAGCCTGATGTGCTTCACATCACACAGAAGTTGTAAATATGATTTATGATTCAAAATTTTGACTAGTTAAAAGGTGTCCCAATGCTTTGGAAACTCCTTGTCTTGTCCTAGAATTTCCTGAATAATCTGACTGATTCTTCCTCTAATCTCATCTACCTCTCATATACACCACTTCTGCCTCACTATCCATCAAGCCATTAGAGTTTTTTCTCTTACTCTTGGAGTTAGCAAAATCATATTTAAAGTCATCACTTTCAACTCCCTGAATTTAAAAACAACACCCTTCTTCTTCTGGAGGGTGAAGTCAATTCTAACTTCCTGATCCTACAGAGCGGTCCCCCAAAATCTTTTTGGAGATGCCTTCATTTCTGCCACTGTAATGTCAATAGATTTTAATTTTATTAATACCAATCCTCAAAAGAATAAGTATTTGTATATTTAAAAAAATTTTGTTACTTCCAATTCTTATTACACTCGATATCTGTAAAGAGATTATTTTTATTATATTTATGATTGACACATATTACATTTTCAAATATATCTGTTGACTGATTATAGAAAATAAAAGCTATATTTTCCAGATTCAGATAGCTAGGTATAAAAAAGATGGTAACCACCAGATGATTAAAAACTAACAGAAAAAACAGGGCAGAAAGTCATTATTCGAGCACAGAAAATGGACACAGAGGATTCTGATTAGTTCAAGAAAAATATATTATTATCCATCAGAAAAGGTAGAATTTTCATTATTGTGAACTATACTGAAGCAATAGCACAGAGGTAGGGCATTTGCCTTGTGCGCAGCCAGCACAGCAGATCCAGGTTCAATTCCTTCACCCCTCTCAGAGAGCCTGGCAAGCTACCGAGAGTATCTCGCCAGCATGTCAAAGCCTGGCAAGCTACACGTGATGTATTCAATATGCCAAACACAGTAACAACAAGTCTCACAATGGAGACATTACTGGGTCCGCTCGAGCAAATCGATGAACAACGGGAGGAGAGTTACAGTGACAGAACTATACTTACATGCACCTAATAAAAGTTGTGAGATATATTAATTGTGAGATATATTAATTAATGATGATGAGTACCAGTAATCAGCAATTCCATTGTATCTACTACTGCAGTTGAATAAGTAGGATAGACCAAAGTGAGTGGAACAGAATTATCCAGATAATGGCAATTAGTATGATCTGAAAGCACGAAAGATTCAGATGATATAACTATATAAAATGACCCATTTGACTTACTTCATTAATGCTTATGACTATATTCTCATGGATGAAAATAAAATCAAGAAAAATAATTGGTATGCATACACGTATACAATATTCTGTCAGTTGGCGCATTATTTTTGAAGAAAATATGTAAATGAAGCTGTATTATTATGTAAATGTGGTGGATAAAAATAGGATTATATGCCTCATGAGTGGAGGGGAAAAGGCTGCTGGAATACAGAAGGGATCACTAAGAAAATGATGGCTGGAGGAATCAGTCAGGATGGGAGATGTGAAAGTAGATAATGGACCAAACATGATAACCTCTCAGTACCTGTATTGCAAACCAGAATGCCCAAAAGTAGAGAGAGAGTATGGGGAATATTGTCTGCCATGGAGGCAAGGGGAGTGTGGAAAAGGGGGGTTATACCAGGGTGGTGGGGAACGTGCACTGGTGGAGGGATGGGTGTTTGATCATTGTGTGATTGTAACCCAAACATGAAGGTTTCTAACTATCGCATGGTGATTCAATAAAAGAAATAAGTTATATATATCCATATATATATACATATATATCATACACCGGGCTGGAGCGATAGCACAGCGGTAGGGCATTTGCCTTGCACGCAGCCAACATGGCCGACCCGAGTTCGATTCCTCTGCCCCTCTCAGAGAGCCCAGCAAGCTACCGAGAGTATTTCGCCCGCACGGCAGAGCCTGGCAAGCTCCCCGTGACGTATTCGATATGCCAGACACAGTAATGAAAAATAATAGTAATAAAAAGTGATTTGCTAAAAAAAGGGTTATAGTAAATACTAGTTTGTTTAAATGGTTATGGGGGACCAGAGCAATAGTATGTTGGTACGTAAGTTTGAAAGCAGACAACCTGGTTTGAACCAGGTACCCCATATTGTCCCCCAAACCTGCCAAAAGTAATTACTGAGAACAAAATCAGGATTAAGTTCTGAACACAGATAGGTATGGCCTAAAAACAAAAAAATGAAATGGTAATGAATCATCTCAGATTAAGCATAATAAATATATAATCAGTAAATATATAAGTATGCTATAGATATTAAAAATGGACACATATTATTATCTATTTATATCAAAAATATTTAATTTTTCCTACTGTCAAATGAACATAAGCTACTGTGGAAGATCAGATTTTAATTACTATAAACCATTTATCAATTGAAATTATACCTTCCTGCACCACAACTTTTTAATAGCATTCTTTACTTCCGCATTCCTCAATGTATAGATCAGAGGGTTGAGCAGGGGTGTTCCAATTGTATAAAACACAGCCACCATCTTGTCTATTGGAAATGTGGTGGGTGGTCTTGTATATATGAATATGCATGGACCAAAAAATATGACAACCACAATAAAGTGGGTGGTACATGTGGAAAGGGCTTTTCTCCGTCCTTCTGCACTGTGGTTTCTCAGAGAGTACAATATGACACTATAGGACATCAGCAGAATAATGAAACTCACCGTGCAGATGGCCCCACTATTGGAAACCAGTAATAAGTTTATCACGTAAGTATCCATGCAGGCAAGTTTCAACAAGGGCTGCAAATCACAGAAATAGTGATCAATCACATTGGGGCCGCAGAAGGGCAATCTCACCGCCAGGAAAATCTGTGCTGAGGAGTGGATACAAGAACCTATCCAAGCCACAATCACCAACACGAGACAGACCTGCCTCCGCATAATGGTAATATACTGGAGAGGTTTGCAAATGGCCACATAGCGATCGAAAGCCATGAGGATAAGCACAAAAATCTCCATGCACCCAAAAAAATGGACTGCAAAGACCTGAGTCATGCACTGATTATAGGAAATGGTCTTTTTATGAGAGAGGGAATCCACAATCAGTCTGGGGGCTGTGGTGGTAGAGAAACAGGCATCAGCGAAGGACAGATAAAATAGGAAGAAGTACATGGGACTGCCAAGGCTCCTGCTGTTTTTAATAGTCACCACAATGAGAATGTTCCCCATGAGTGTTGCGAGATAAAGAATCAGGAAGATCCCAAATATTGCTTTCTGCTTTCTTGGATCCTGTGTTAATCCAAAGAGAATAAATTCAGTCACAGTGTTATTCATCACCATCTTAGTGGCCAAAGACAAGATGTGCTTGACAAAGACTTGGTATCTGCAGACAGAAGGAAACCTGTGACATCTCAAAAGATCAGCAGGCTGATCTCTGAGTTCCTTCTCAGTGAGCCATTCTGATGCCTCCAACTGTTGTTAATTCTCAGTAAATCTTTGTAGAAGTTCAGATGTACAGACCTCATTGGGATCTATCTTTTGATTCAGAAAGTACATGACATCCAACCGTTAGCTGTTCGACGGGAGGGAAAGGGTTATTCTTTACAATTTTAAATTCACCCCAATAACTTTCACTGTGACTTGACTATTTTGACATTGAGAATTTGTGTCTGAAATGGAGTTCAAATATCGTCCCTACCTTATTATAAGCTTATCTTATATTTGAAAATTATAAACCTACACTAATACCCACAATACAACCTAAATTTCAAGTGTAAATTTCTCTGAGAACAAAACAACAGTATTCCAATATAATTGAGTGTTAACATTGTTGGAGTACCCCTCATGAAGAAAATTTCTCATTCCAGCTTATATTTGTTTCAGTAATGCCAGACTCATTCAAGATCTTAATATAAAATGCTTTTCTTAACAATCTTTTCCCAGTCTTTTCTGTTCTGGATGTTAACTTCTTTGGTATCCAATATGTAAACAAATTTCTAGATAATGCTTTAAGAAGAGTTAAATGCAGTTAGGGATGCATACTGTTTACTTTCTGTTCTATAATCTTGAATCCATCTAGTTAGAACATTTAGCCTCTATTAATGAGATATGATAAAATTTGCTATTTTTCTAATGTATAAAATCCATAAATCTGTTTATTCATAAATGTACCTCTTGGACATATCTCATCTATGAGACACCTCTCCTAAAACCAATATTTGAGATAAAAGCTCTCTGATACTAATGTAAAAATTTTTTATTTAAAAAAATGTTCAAATAGTTTTTAGATATTCTGTGAAGTAAATGATACACAATATAATGTGTATTATGTGTACTCTGATTAAACAGTTTCTGGTATAATATATGTCCATAGGTAGTCAAATTTAAGGGTGTGATATTGAAAATAGTTGTTTTTTTTTTTGCTTTTTGGGGGTCACACCCGGTGATGCTCAGGGGTTACTCCTGGCTCTGCATTCAGGAATTACTCCTGGTGGTGCTCAGGGGCCCATGTGGGATGCTGGGAATTGAAACCGGGTGGGCCACGTGCAAGACAAATGCCTTATGCGCTGTGCTATCGTTCCAGCCCCCTGATATTGAAAATACTTTTATAAGAAGAATTTGACAATGAAGTCACTTATTTCTTTGTTGCTTCCAATTTTCACACTCAAATAATTCCAAGGTTTTAGAATAATCCCCCAAGTATAACCTCAAATACTAAATAATATTTTTATTTATTGCCAAGGTTTTAGAACAATTTTCCTCAAGTGGCATCATTACCCTCAAGACAAAATAATATTATTATTCATTGCTACTTATAAAAAACTTGAAATCTTATACCCTTATAGTGTCAGGTTTTTTTTTTTTTAAGAAAATTGTTGATGAGTGACAGGACTGGAATGATAGGGATTAAGGGACTTGGCTTGCATGTGACTGACCCCAATTCAATCACATGTACTGCACATGATCACTGAAGCAACACCAAAGAGATCCAAGAGCACAGTCAGGAGTAAATACTAAGCACAGTTTAGTGTGGCCCAAACCCCACAAGTAAATAAGTAAATAAAGAATTAATGATTCCAATAAATATTCAAAGTACAAGAATATGATTAGAAAACTTAAGTCTCTTCAAATTTTTTGAATCTATCATTTTACTGTCGACAAATAATTATGCTTTTTCTTAAATTTTCTTCCAGAGAACCCATCCCTCTGGAAGAATGGGTACTCGATCATTGTATAACTGAAACCCAAGCACAAAAATGTATAAGTCTATAACTGTACCTCATGGTGTTGCACTAATAAAAAAATGATAAAAAATAAATAAATAAATTATTGCAATAAAAAAATGTTCTTCCAGAAACATTGTTTTTTTACAAGTATGTGTTTACCTGTAATTTTTGGGGCGTAGGGCACAACTACTGGTGCTCACTCCTGGTTCTGCATCCTGGAATCACTCTTTGATGGTTTAGACAAGATGTGTAGTGTTGGAGATCAAACTGGGTCATATATATAGGTGTGTAGGAACTAACATTCTGTCCTCAAATATACCTATATTCTTTGTTTATATAAATATGTATAATATATAATTATGCAAAATAATTAATGCAAAAGTTGAAGAATTTGTGGATAAGCTTATGCAAAAATTAATTTTAATATCTTGCAAAATTATATTGTACTAATTTTAATTGTTTCTATTTCTCACACATAAATTACTCCACCCTGCCTTCATAACCATTAAATATTTGCATTTGTTATAATCAATATAGTTATTCAATTTTAAATAAAATGCTTTTCACAAATTACTAAAAGAAAAATAAAGCTTAGAGTAAGTATGTCGATTTTCTTTGAATTTTCTTTGTAAGATATATACCACAACATCAGAGCGGTGTTTCCAAAACTTTGTTATAATAAAAGGACAATCTTAGAATTTTAAAACATAGCTATGTGCTTTCTATTGATAAATGAAACAAAAGGACAAATTCTAGATATATTGTCTTATTTTTCTATCCTCTCTCTAATAACCACCTTGCAATACCTTTACAAGAAAAAAAGAGCATTTAAAAATATGAAAGTTTATGAATAAAAAGGTTAGTAAGGGTTCTAAATGCAGAGGTTGAAATGCTTTCCAAAATTCTCAAATCCTTTAGCTCTGGGCCATCGTTTTCTTTTCTGCCTCCTCCCAGTGTTTCAACTCATGTTTGCTGCTGTCAACTCTGCCACCTATTATGCCCCCTAACACATTCAGTCCATCCCAATCTCTGAACGTCCTTGTCCTTGCTAAATCTCAATTCCTTTCCTGTGACAGATTCTTCTCTCGTTATATCCAGATTGTGTATAGGGTTATATTCATTTTGTTTTGTACTATCTCCTAAGGCAAGTTTCTGTTCTATTTTGTCCACATTGGTAGAATTTATCCAGGAGCAGAAAAAGTGGGTTAGGAGTAAGACTCAAGGCTTTGTGCTCCCTAGCAACCAAGTACTGAATGATCTCTTGTCATCCAGATAGATGAAGCAAAAGGCCAAAATGTCAAGATACAAAATAGATAAAGAAGAAATCCACTGACATATTCAGTATGAGTTATGACTACTGAAGAGATACGAATTCTGATAGGTCAATTAGGAATATAAGAATTTTATATGTATACATGGGAAATGCTAATGAGAAGAAGGTACAAAAACTGGAAAATTATGGCAGAAATAAGAGTTAAAGGGGGAAATGTGATAGTAAAAAGATCTAAAGAAGAAAAAAGCATCAAGGATAAAGCAAGGGAACACTTCACAAGGGTAAGCAAAGAATAGAGATACAAGAAAAATTTGTCCCAGAGTACATGGGAGTGATTTTGTCTCTCATCACTCCACATACCACTCCTTGCTCTACCCCAGAAAAAGAATGTAAATTTTGGCTGACGGTAAGGGTGTGTGACAGTGACAGGATGAACTAATAAGTGTCATAGTTTCATAGAATCACGCATCCCAGTAACACTGAATCTAATAGCAGATTAATCAGTCTGCATTCCTATTCTTTTCATGAGTACATGTTTCCATACATCCATCACCTTTTCGTGCCCCTAACATTGACTAAGTTTAGGATACTCTGGTTCTGTTCTTGTCAATACAGTCCCCCTTTTCTATAAAAATGTGGACTGAGGCAATACTGTCCCAAGCATAGGATAAGTCAGGTAGAAGATCAGAAACTTCAGGGTCTTCTGATCATGGTGGGATATATATTTGTCATTAGAGTGTTGCTTTTCTCAGGACATAGAACTGCATGATGTCCAAACCTAGTCTCAAATGAGGAGCAAGATACCATAAAGAGGAGTTTCGCTGGACTTAAAAATTACCTATTCTTGGGGCTGGAGCAATAGCACAGTGGGTAGGGTGTTTGCCTTGCACACGGCTGACCCGGGTTTGAATACCAGCATCTCATATGGTCCCCTGAGCACCACCAGGAGTAATTCCTGAATGAAGAGCCAGGAATAACCCTGTGCATTGACAGGTGTGACCCAAAAAGCAAAACAAACAAACAAAAAAACAAAAAAATATCTGTTCTTGGGTGGGGGTAGAGTGGAGAGAAGAGAAAGGAGAGAGAGACAGAGAGAGAGAGAGAGAGAGAGAGAGAGAGAGAGAGAGAGAGAGAAATTCAGGAGAGCGTTGAATGCTTTTGCTCTTTCCATTCTGACTTACTTTGAAGATGTATCATGTGCAGTGTTTGCAACAAGCAAATTGCTTTTCCAAATATATCCTCATGGCTTTCTGTCAGACAGTCAGCAGAAGGGAAGATACTCCACAGAGAACATCTCTTCCTAGAAAGTCCGAATTAGAATCTGAAAGTTTTGTAAAACTCACACATTATTGACTTTACTTTTAGAATCTCCTAGGATAAAAATGAAATATCCATACTACTGTCTCATCAGAAAATATTTATAATAGAGATCTATAATATTTCCCAGCAGAACAGAGCACTTAAATTTTTATTCTTTCTCCTGGCTGGAGCAATAGCACAGCGGTAGGGCATTTGCCTTGCAAGCCGCCAGCCTGGCCGAGCTGGGCTCCACCCCTCTCAGAGAGCCCGGCAAGCTACTGAGAGTATTTCACCCGCACGACAAAGCCTGACAATCTACTCGTGATGTATTCAATATGCCAAGCATAGTAACAACAAGTCTCACAATGGAGACGTTACTGGGCCCGCTCGAGCAAATCGATGAACAATGGGAGGACAGTGCAACAGTACTACAGTGCTCCTCATATTTATAGAAATTTCATAAAATTTCACAAGGACCCCACCTCTAGAAAGACAGAGGGAAGGTAAAGACTCCTCCTTTCACACTCAGCCCACAGGATTTG